GGTCTGGGAGTGTGAGCACGGGTGCAGAGGTGAAGCTCTTCTTAAGGCGGTTAAATGAGTTTTCACATTCTGTAGACCAAACAAAGACTTGATTAGGAGAAGTCAGGTTATGCAATGGAGTAGCAATTGAACTGTAGTTTTGAATGAATTTGCGGTAGAAATTAGCAAAACCAAGAAACCTCTGAACCTCCTTTCTTGAGCGTGATGTAGGCCATTCTGCAACTGCAGAGATCTTGCACAGATCCATCTGGATCTCCCCCTCAGCCAACACAAACCAAGAATGACACTGAGAACCTGTGAAACTCACATTTTTCTGCTTTAACGTACAGTTGGTTGTCAAGGAGTCGTAATACTTTATGGACGTGGCCTATGTGGGTTCCGTCATCAGGGGAGAATACCAGAATATCATCCAGATACACAAACACATTAAGCATATCACGTAACACATCATTAACCAGATTTTGGAAGACAGCAGGTGCGTTACTTAATCCAAAAGGCATAACCAGATATTCTTGATGTCCAGTGGGTGTGTTGAATGCCGTTTTCCACTCATCTCCCTCCTTGATACGAACTAAATGATAAGCATTATGCAAGTCAAGCTTGGTAAAGATTTTGGCTCCGTCGAGGAGCTCAAAAGCTGTGGAGATGAGTGGCAGAGGGTGCTTGTTCTCAACGGGGACGTCGTTGAGTCCCCGATAGTCAATGATGGGACGCAGGGTCTTGTCCTTTATCCACGAAAAAAAATCCTGCTCCTGCAGGTGAAGAGGATGGGCGAATAATCCCTGTAGCGAGTGCATCCTGGATGTATTCCTCCATGGCTTGATGCTCTGGGGAGGAGAGTGAGTACAGTCTGCTCCTAGGCGGGGCTGCTCCTGGCAACCTGTCAATGCAGCAGTCATATGTGTAGGATATGGACTGACACAGATGCCCAAAAGGATTCGAAAAACTTCATTTGAACTTCCCAGCACCCAAGTCACATGCCATAAAAAAAAAAAGACAGAACTGTCCTGCAGGTCACAGGGCCATGTAAATCAACTCTACAGACTCGGAGGAGTCGAAGCCGGAGGAAGCAGAGCCCCATTGGGAATTTCCTTATCACACTTACGTCGAGCCTCAAAGGATCTAATACACATGAGCTTTTGGGGGAAGACAAAGAAAAACATTCAACCACATGGACCTTAACAAATGGCCAGACGCAATGAAGTGCCCTGTGTTAGGATGGTATGTTTTGTTATGTTTTGCTTGTTTCTGTGCCTTGGTGTGTGGTGAGCGTGTTTCTCTTGCTCTCCCTGCAGGTTGGGCGGAGCCGGCCGGAACGAGACAATCAAGCGCTGACAGCTGTGACTCGTTTTCTCATCAGCAGCCAGCCGTTCAAATACGGGCGGCTCACAGACCTTCAGCGCCAGATGATTGTGATTCCTCACCGTGGTACAGTCAGGCCGCTTAGCAGCAACCTCTCGAGCAACGTTTCAGCTAAGTTCGCAAGTTTCGAGTATCTCGAGTTAATGGTTTTTTCCCTCTGCACTTGCAGCGTCTCGTCTCGGCTCCAGCTCCAGCACTTCTCCCCACACGCCTGCCGCCTCCCGTCTCTCGAGCACACTTCACGGGACCACACGGACACGAGCACCTTCACCCACCGGATCACCGGTAGAGCACCAGCACGGGGAAGATTCTTCACGGGATACGGAGTCGCACCAGCACCGTTCTTGGAGCACCGCACCCCCACCTGCCACCTGGGATCTCCACCACGACACTCCCATCGGATTCCCCCACCAGGACACCCTCACTTCCCCCTCCCTTGTCGAATAAACCTTTTCCTTAACATCTTATCCCGTCTCCCTCTTTCGTTTGGGTTCACCTGCAGTGATTCTGGTACTCGTGTCGTCACACCCTGGGCTTAACGTATTGCTCTGCTGACCCCTCATTTCCTGTGGCATGCAAGAACTGAACTCATCAATGAACAATAAGACACAGCACCAGAAGATGTGCCTTCTTACCTTGTGTTAAGTTTAATCGTTAAATGTTATGATATATCATATCCTGATGAATACTCCAAAGCTTAATTACAGTTGGATAAGTCCTTCTTTAATTTATCAGCTTGTTTTATAACCATATCCTAAATATTGTATTATCTCTGTAACCGTACAAGATAGCTCAGTCATGTTTAGACTCCCCGTGAAGCTTTACATGTGACACATTCATTTCAAACAAGCTTAACTTTGTATAATTGAAAGTACATATAGTTCTGAAGGAACATTGTTACTTTCAGAGCAAAACTCATGACCACCTCATGACCTCCCGGTGATACTGGGGTGTCATATCCAACAGCCCCCCTTGGAGTGGAGCTCGCTGTGATTGGTCATTAGTTTCACTTAAAGTCGCTTCACCCGACAAGCTCTCTCTCTCTTTCCATCTCTCTNCGGAAGGCTAGATTTAGTGATGTAGAACCAATTGAACCATGAGCTGTTGATCCTAGTGAGGAGGAACAAGTGTATTCTTTGGTAAAAAGGAGAAACACTCTTCCTGCCCACTGGAGAACAGACCAAAGGTTAAGAAAATCTTATGAGCCACCCAGATTAGCTGGTAAGTGGACGTAGCAGAGGTTGAGAAAAACTCGTGAGCCACACGATCTGCCAAGTTGGAGCGACAGAACGATAGTTAATCTTCTGTTAATCTCCCCCTCGAACTGCCACCTTATCGTGGTGGGGGAGTTTGTGTGCTCGAATGATCCTAGGAGCTATGTTGTCCGGGGCTTCGTGCCCCTGGTAGGGTCACCCAAGGCAAACAGGTACTAGGCGACGGGACAGACAAAGGGCAGTTCAAAAACCTCTATGATAAACAAGACATCAAGGAAAGAGACGTTGCCCGGTATGGCGCAGCCGGGGCCCCACCCTGGAGCCAGGCCTGGGGTTGGGGCTCACACGCAAGCGCCTGGTGGTCGGGCCTCTGCCCACGGGGCCCGGCCGGCCACAGCCCGAAAGGTTGACTTGGGCCCGCCCTCCTGTGGACCCACCACCCGCAGCCCGCAGAGGGAATCATAGGGGTCGGGTGCAGAGAGGACTGGGTGGCGGCCGGGGGGGGCTGCCTCGGTGACCTGGTCCGCGCACACAGCCTCTGGTTGTTGGGACATGGAACGTCACCTCGCTGGGGGGGAAGGAGCCTGAGCTTGTGCGGGAGGTTGAGCGATATCAACTAGATGTAGTCGGCCTCACCTCCACCTCTACCTGGGCTCTGGAACCCAACTCCTGGAGAGAGGCTGGACGCTCCATTTTTCTGGCGTTGCCCGCGGGGAGAGGCGCCAGGCTGCAGTGGGCTTGCTCATTGCCCCCCTAGCTCAGCCGCCACGTGTGGGAGTTTACTCCGGTGAACGAGAGGGTCGCGTCCCTACGCCTCCGGGTTGGGGACAGGTCTCTCACTGTTGTCGCGGCCTACGGGCCCAACAGCAGTGCAGAGTACCCGGCCTTCTTGGAGTCCCTGGGGGGGGGGCTAGATAGTGCCCCAACTGGG